TGTAATACAGTAATAATAACTCAGACGCTGTATGTATAAAAGTATATGATCGATGCTGCGTGCTGTATGTGAGCCCTATGGAAAGCAAAGCCTCTCTTTTGGAAGGAAATGTGAGGATTAAGATGTGATGGACAAGAATAACATGTAGTCAAACAATAAGAAACAACAGCTGTAATTGGAGTCTAAAGCTTCAATCAGCCAGGTCAAATGTGTGCATGCTTTTATGAGTGTATCAAGAGTCTGCATCTTGGATAGTTGACCTTAGTGCCAGGGATGCATGACAAATCAGTGGCTGGTATATTGTCCTAAATTAAATCATTATTATGTTTTGACAAATGAGCTTCAGCTGGTAATTACATCCAGTAATTTGGTGCCTTTACTTATAATGGCTAAATTATAATCAGGTCATAAACAGATAGAAAAATGACATTTCTTTAATTTGTTAACAATAAATTATAATATTACAGTGGGAAAATTGGTCAATCAAAAAAGGTAAGCGTTTATTTTCTCAACTGCAAGAGTAATGTTACCAGTCATTACATAATTGTCAAACACAACTAAAAGACATTTTTTGGTCCATCATTTTTGGACCTAAAATTCAATATTGAAGCATTTCTACTCATTAAAACACCTATTTGTTGTGTATTGTTTATGTTGTTTTATTGATTTATAATATTTGACCTACAAATGGCTTGTGACACTGTAGGCCTATGATGAAAGCCTCTCTTTCCATGTTTGTCTGTCTCTTTTCCATAACTAGTTCTATGTATGGACTGCAGACCAGTGCTCTCTAATGGCACCCAGTGGTCTTCCCAAGTAACAGCAGGTGTTTGGGTGAGTATAAAGATGATGGGAAATGGGCCAGAGGAAAAGGTGCCTTTGAGGGAAAAAGGATATGAATATCAGCCACCAGGACACAGTGTCAGTTCAAGCCATGGACACTGACCTGGAACAAGGTGCTGGCGTTCAGGTCACTGTTGAAATGGTGTGTTTAGCTTTTTGACAGGACTGATAGATACTGATTGGATCAACAGACTGGAACTTCCATCGAGCTTGTTCACGTGTGAGGTTGACCCCCCCCCTCCCTTGATTAATGTAATGTGGTATTTTACATTCCACAATGAGGCAAGAGTGCTTCTATTTCAGTCTTAATGAGGGCTGGAGAGAAACTGTGTGCTGTAATAAATGCGTGTGTACATCCATAAACTTGTGTGTGCAGCCACCCACCAACATGTCTTTATATGTATGTAATACTGTACCTATTCCCTGGACCCAGTATCGATCGTGTTTCAGGCGGCGTTGGCGGCGCTAGTTTGTTTGAGCAGTGGCAGTCACCTGCTGTGTGTGCTAGACAGTGCAGCCTGGGGCAGACGGGGGTTGAAGTGTCATTTTATGTTAGGCAATAAATTAAGCTTCCATTACCTGAAACCCAAGCCCAAAATGAATTTCATCTAACTGTAGATCTCTCCTGTTGCAGTTCAGTCCTCAGCTACCACTTCAAAAGTATTCATTTGGAGCGGTGACATGAGTGAAAAACAATCCGCTTTAAAAATACAGTGCAATCCTCCAGGTTAGGAGATTTTCTTTTTTTTTGACAAGCCAAGGAAGGGGGACTCAGGATTGCGGTGTGCTGTGAGATGCTTTGATACACCATCTCTGGGCTTTATTCCGATACCTGATAATCCCGGGGAGACGCTTTGCGGGGCATTTACCAGGAAGCATAAATTTGAAAGTCTGTAATTTGACAAAAAGAATGAGAAAGAAAATCTGTAAGGGGAAGGGAAGATGGAGGATGATAGCTGGGGGTCTCTTGAACAGTCTATGGCCTCTCGGCACAAACTGGGGAGGCAAAGCAAAGACTTAGGAAAGAGAAACAGAAGTGATCCTTCACACTCTGTTGGCTGCTGTTCTGGTGTTATCTGGTTAGCGGTATCCTTTGCCAGGACTAACAGCAGGGTACGGCAAGCGCACAGAAAGAAAAGGAGCCATACAGTTTCTATTTGAGAATACTGTCCTTAGAGATTCAAGCTTGGCCATCATGGTTTGGGCCTCCTGTCATCTGTCCTGGTGCATGTGAACCTTCCAGGATGGATGACACTTGAGGACTGTAAGGTCAGGAAAATCACTCTAGACCACAAGACTGCCTTTATTCCGTGACAGTCTCAGGACACTCTGGACTCTCTATTCCTCGGCCTTTACCCCAACTGCGTGAAAAAACTTTAGCCCCTCTTTCTCTCGTCTTTCCCTTGCCTCAGTACTAATTAGGATGATGTATGGCTGTGGGCTCTTTAGAAGGGGTGGAATAGTCAGAGGCACTTTGATTACAATAAACAGAGCTATGGATTTTAAACCACATACCAGTAAAAGGGCTTTTCCTCCTCTCCATTCACCATGCCAAGCTGGTTCTTGGGTTTACACAGGTGTGGGTGTGTGCACATGTGGATGTGAGCGGGCACTTGCATGCTTATGTGCACACATGGCTTTCAATAAATATTGCAGATGAACAATACTGTAACAAATGTCAGGACACTGGACGTTTACTCCATAAATCAGACTAAATATCTTTCACAGCTTGCCGAGAGCAGCAGGGCCAGTGGAAGAAAATCATCATCAGTGATCCTGTTGGTACTATTATTGTCTGTGTGATGACTTCTCATGAACAGGTTAACTAATGAAGAGAGACTGCACGCCACAGGCGCTATAGCTACGCTGCTTCCTCTCACTGAATGTGAATATTCAATGTGTTCTCTCTTCCCTTGACTTCTGTTTATATGACTCTACAATCATCTGTAGTTTGTCTGCTGCTATCATCCGTCATAGCGTGCCCCATTCATCTTCAGCTTTCCTCTGAATGAGTGGCTTTTCTATCCAGTTTATGCCCTAGGAAAATGATCAGTCTTTGCGGGACTGGATTTTCAATTTTGTGGTGTATGGCTAGACATTTGGGCAGAGAGCGGGCGACAGGGTAGACGGTGGGTGAAGTAAAGGGATAGTATAGTGTTATTGTAACGGAGTAAGTCTAGAAAACCAAACTACGAAGGGGACGGTTCAGAGTTCACTCCAGGGAAAGAGGTGAAAGAGGACAAACATTGCCAGTGCTACTGCACGTTACTGGAAGGGGTGTCGAGTGAATGTTTGTGTGACTGTCTGTGTGTGTGTGTGTGTGTGTGTTACACACACGTGACAAAGAGGAATCTGGCTCTTGCAATCTCAAGTTTACTCTCCACAATATCTAACTGTTGTACTGCAGAACAAGACAAATTACATACCTGCTTACACTATGTCTCTCTGGGTTGGAGTCTAAGCAAATCAAGTTTGATTGGTATGACAGTATAACAGGGGATGCAAGACAGAAAATACATAATGTGTGTGTAGGTGGGTGATAAATTTAAAGGAAAAGAAATATTCTGAGTCTGAGACTGTGGGCCCTCCTCATCCCCATAGTGTACACGTGTAGTTTTGCTCAAGTCCTAGATGCCTAAGGGATCATGATTATGTTATTTGATGCCATGCTCACCAATCGAGCCAAGATAACCTAATATCTTGACATAACTTCAGACTATAGCAAATACATTAAGAGGTCTGTCCTAAGGTATTTACTGTTTCTGATTCTGAGAAAGTGGGAAAGACAGTAAAAATCCTCCAAACTATTGTATCTCTGAACTATCTCTTCGCAATTTAACACATTTTTAACACATTTAGGATATTCTATGGGATCTCTTTTTGATAACTAACTTTTAACTAACTTTTTGACCGAGCGTTCCCTGGAACAGTTTGGAGCCCCCGGGTGAGGCCTGCCTGTTTGAAAACAAACAAAGTTGTAAAGAAACAACAAATGCACAGTCCTCCATACAGATCACAGGCATCACAGAATGGTTTGATGAGTATGAACACGATGTGAATCATATGGCCTTCACAATCAGCAGACCTCAACCCAACTTAACACTGGGTTTGCCATTATTGCAGCGGCGACTGTCGTTAAAGCTGTGTTTAACCCTGTAATGTATGCAAAGGTTGTAATGTACTTTTGAAAAAAATCCAACAGATCCTGCAGAATCGAATATATGTTGAAAATAAAGTCATCGATGCCTTTAAAATAAAGTCGGACAGAAGTGGTACGTTTATATAATTTGTTGTCATCACCAGTTTCAGACTTGTGCTTTGAGACGGAATACCTTCCAGAATTACACAGACTACCTTCTGTTGGAGGGGGTGACTGCCGACTGCAGTTAACCCAAACATCTCTTCATGTTGGACAGTGCTCTAGTATCATCATCAAAACACATTTTTGAAATCAGTTAGATTTTTATTCAAGATTCAATTTTATTTTTCCCCAAATTCCATTTTTCAGAAGTCTGTTTTACAATTTAAGCACAATTTGTCATCAGAAAGAGTGTGTAATCATGTTGTGGATGAATCCAACTTCCACAATTCAATGAGAGAAATATTATACATGCAATCAGTATCAATGAATTTGATGTATCATGTGAATATGCATATAGAAATGTGTTGTGCAATGTGCAATTATTAAGTAGGGTACAATTCACAATGAATGAATTGTTATAATACATGTGGGCCTATTGTTAATAGTTTCCCATTAAATAGGTTATTACTTGACTACTGACAATATCTTTCCACAGTTCTTCTGCAGGACAGCCTCCATATGTTGCTCCAACACACACTAAGTAATAAGTGGGTCTGACAGAGGCTACGTTCACATGGGCAACGGTCCTCCTTGTTTACAAAGCTTGACTGGACGCAGCCTTTTCATTTCTTATAACTAATCAAATAGCCATGAAGCCTTCAGCGAGTTCGCATCTTGCATCTGCCAATGTGGTTGCAGTTTGGAGAGTTTGCTGAAGTGATGAGCTTGATGTTAAGCTCTGACTCTCTTCATTATGACTGTGTGTGTGTGTGTGTGTGTGTGTGTGTGTGTGTGTGTGTGTGTGTGTGTGTTACTAAGATATTCAGTGTTGTTTTTTCCTTTCATTTGAACTTACTTCATGGGCCAGAGCTGCAGCGCTGTCCAGGATGGGGACGGGTTTGCTCTCTTCGTAGTGCTGCAGCCGTTCATGGATCTGAAAGAACAGATTGTGTTAGTACTGTAAGTAAGAGAGAGACAGAGAGAGACAGAGAGAGACAGGAAGGAGGTCAATGTTGGGCTGCAGAGGCCACGGCGAGACCTCCCTGAGCAAACACGTACATGTGTGAGCAAAGTGTGCACACAAAAACCCATGTGCACTGCTACAAGCACACATGTATGAAAACATCTACAGCCTCCATCCACACCATTTGACCACGCACATACTCACAGCAGATCAAAACGACAAGCAATCACACTTTCAACCACCAAAAGCACACACTCACACACCTCTTTCACACTAGGCTCGCTCGATTCAGCGCAGTGCTTAGCCACTGTACAAAAAATCTAGTTTTCCACCATGCATCTGATATACCCTAGTGGCCTGGTGAGGATTCCAAATCATTTCAACAGTCTGGTTAAATTGGCTAAACATATCCTTATCAGCCTCAACACCGCAACTGCACAATGTTGAGAGACAAAGCTGGATCTCTGGAGAGTTACTAAAATGGAAAGTAGGCCTGACTCGTATGTTAACGTTTACTCATTTACACACACAAAAACACTTCATCACTCAAAAACTGATATGTGGAGCAGAGACGCAATCATTTATACACACACTTGCACATGTGCAGTTGAACACACAGTTGCACGCCTGTGCTCCAGCCTACGCACACACAGATACACACACAAAACTACAGCCATCCCATTTGTGATTTAAGAGCAGCTGTGCAGGAATGCTGTTGACAGCCTACAGGCTACTGTCAGGTCCCATCAGAGAACAGACAGGGACGACTATCCTCCCAACAGCCACTCCTGAGTCTCTCCTCAGCCCAGCATGGTGAAGCGGAGCTAGGCCAAGGGTCTGACTGATAACTGGGCCCCCGTCCTGGAGCCTCCAGCTGGATGTCCTAGAAAGCGTTCCAACACAATGGTGGAGCAGAAGGCCCCCTGGCTGGGGAGAGAGTGACAGGGAAGCCCCTGGGCCAACTCGGCATGAGTAGAGCCAAATCCACACACACACACACACACACACACACACACACACACACACACACACACACACACACACACACACGGAGCAATGTAAATTTGCAACAGAGAATCACTCCGTAGGACAGAAAGCGACAAGAAAAGCAGTTTGTTTGCTGTCACACTATGAGTAGCTACAGATGCTGTGTGCAATTAAAACATCTGTTTTAAGACATAATATTCCCTCCTTACTACACAAACCATGTTTTTTAACTAGACAGCAGCATTACCATGGATACTGTCAATGCTAGTTGGACAGAGTTGATATTGTGACAATCACAGGATGGGATCTGTCCCTTCTAATGTCATTCCCTGGGGAATGTTTTTTCTGTATTTTGGCAGCAGGCTAGGAATGTTGGGGAAGTTCTGATTAGTAAAGAGAGATGCAACATGTGTAGATGAGTTCATTTGAATCTTTGCAAGTTGTCATCTGTCTTTCATAACCACCAGAGAAAACTACGTCAGCAATACAAAGACACTCATGTCAGCATTCCAAAGATTCATTTTTATGACTTATGACTCTAGTCAGAAAAATGCAACTGAACTATGTGTTAAATGTCTTTATATAGGTGTGCCCCTTTCTGTCCATCAAAACCCCGGTTCAACTGTTGGCCTTACACAGGTACAGCCATTTCCACTTGACTTATCCACACAGTCTTGCATGATAAATCATGACCTGTTACGACTGTGTCTTAGCCAACAGAGCAGCCATGTTTCAAGGTCAGCTTAGGAGGTTCAAATCCCTGTGTAAAGCCGACATTACTCGGCTATAAAACATGGTGCATTAGGTGTGTCGTGGAGGTAATCTGTTGAAGGCCTGACGGAGGCAGATGGTTGCTCAGTTCAGTTGTAGAGCGCAAAAACTGCAACTTGAGGACGCCAGAACAAGACAGAAAAACGGTAGAGAAAAGAGCAAGCAATACAGTAGGTTTGCAATGGCCTGAAGATGCGCGGGAACATGTACAAGAGTGGTGATCAGACTAGGGGCGGAGATAAAAATTAAAAAATTAAAAAGCTTAGAGTGGTGCTAACATAAGTCTGAGCAGACTGAGAGTTCCATGTTTTATGGCATCCAATTTAAGACTGCCACTCTAGGGTAATTCTTGGAAATTTTCATCCTCATCTGTTTAATCTCACAGAGCCACGTCATATTTGAACAGCTACACTCCGCTGTTCATGAAATCCCAACAACTCCACCCTGTGCTCTGGCTCCTCTGTCTGTTCTTCTACAGTAGATGGCCGTAAAAAGGCAGCTCCGGTTACTTCATCTGTCCTGATCGTCTTTGTAAGAAAACAGATGAAATAAATGAGAGAGGTTGTCAGCGTCTTCAGCGCGCCAGCATACCACAGTCCTAGTGACATCTGCTTAGGTAGTTGTTGCTCCACCACCTCGGATTATTTAGTTACTGTGGAATTTCTTCTCTGCTTGGTGAGCAAACACAAGATTGAAATGCTTTTATTCACAGTTCAGGACACTTTCCAAATGTCTGTCCATGACGCAGTAATGTATTTTAAAGTCATTACCCCGCGTTTTGCATAGCGCATTCTCTGTCCCCTTGGTGAGGCAGCAGTGCTCCTGGCAAACGGGAGAAGTGGCCTGGTGGAATAAAAAAAAATAAAAGAAGAACAGTGAGAGACAGTGTGCTACAGCCAAGGAGGGTTTAGCTCATACCAGAGACTGAGTCCTGGACACGTAACTGAATATAAGACTGGGATCCTGACTCTTCTCTGATGAGAAATGTAGTGCTACTTCTATGTAAAATAAGGCTTAAGAGCCAGGATCAAAATCATCAAAACTCAGGGAGAAAGTAGCCCTAAAGTAGAGGCTGAGAAAAGTTGAATGAATGTGCATCTTCACTGAAAGCTTAAAAAAGAAACATGCTACAAAAGGAGCAGTGTCCCATGTCCACAGAAGCCTCAGACTAAGATGTGTTTGTGTCCAGAAGTACGCCATGGGCTTAAAATACACACATCAACACATGAGACAAAAAACAAAATGAAGAAAAACACTAACACGGGTAAGAATTAAAAAGGTTCCAACAAGGATGGACTGGAATAAAAACATGACATCAATCTTCATTTTCTTCAAACAAGTGCTCCAACCACTGCTACGGAACACTGTTAAGGTTAAGGGTCAGACACCTTAGAGACCTTTCAAGGAACCTTCAGTTCTAAAATTCAGTAATTCAATCTCTATTTATGTTCTTGTCATGATCAAAGCACGATTCAACAGCAAAAAGAACAATGACCAGTTTGAGCCTCGATTGTCAACGTGGAGGTATAGCTGAAGAGAAAAGGCATGCCTTACAAATACTAATCCAGACTCACTACAGCGAGCAAAATCTGGCAAAGAAAGAGGGAGAGAGCGTGCAAGAGAGCAAAAGCTTGATAGATGGAGAGGTGTGCTGATGGAAGGAGAAAGAGAGGTCTGGAGATCACAGGACTGGATAGTGTTTCTGTTTCTGAGTCCTGCAAGGAGGCTCTTGGCCTCTGGTTAATGTCCGCTGCCCAGAAAACAGGTCAGGTTGGACCGCTTAGGGTTGACAATCTTTCTCCCACTGCTCTTATTATATCTACCCACCGAAGTGGATCCGGTATCAAGCCTCCTTTAATCCAACCGGGTCCGATATCTTGGTCTGATCCAGAACACCTTGTCAAGGCACCATGGCCTGGTAGACTGGACCAAGTTAAGGAGACTGGAAGGGGGAATTACAGACAGACGTGCAGGGTTACAACTGGAATAGCTGTGAAATGATATGTTTACTCAAGGAGCAGTGGGTCAGTTTACAAAGATGTTGGCTTTAGCCCTGGCATGATGGCTTCAGGTCCTGGACATTGTGCTGTGGTTCATGAACAATACTGCTTATGACACTACCATTCTCCATCAGTCTGCTGAGGGTACAACTGGTCAATCCTCAGCAAGGAGCAGACATTAGAAATGACAGCATCCAGTCAACATTGCTATTAGTGGTTACCAAGTTTACACAAAGGAGCAGCAGATTTAACAATCTTTCATCATGGATCTACCAGCCCGAATTACTTGTCTCAGGCAACGTTCTGTTGGAGTTGATCTACAAAAATGTACAACTTTATAGTTAGCACAAAAATTAGTTCAACTTTTCCATCATCTTTAATTGTCTAGGCCAATTAAAATTCCTCTTGTCCTGCACCTGGGTCCCAGGATTTTGGTGACACTGGGTCATAAATCAATTAATTAGAAAATATGCCAATGATTGGTTTTGTGTATTCAGAGATTAGTGAGCAGTGGATTCAAATCCTTGACAAGACCTCACACAGAGGGTGCTGGTGCCTGAGCTCGCCTCCCTTGTTGTGGAAAACGCCTCGAGAATGTGACAGCTAATTAATTAAGAAGTAGCAGTAGATACAATGGACGAGAGAGAGGAAGGGAGAGCGAGAGAGAGGAGGCCAGCTGGACAACAATCATGACATCCATATCATTTAGATAAGGGATATATTTCCTCCAGGAGCTCCTACAAAAAAAGGGCAGGGAGGCCACTGACACATGTATTCTGTGATGCCAGGACAGTGCAAGACACAGCCACACTTATGATACACACAATGACTGTCTTGAAACACAGCTAAAATCCCCACTGCAAGATTTCTGTTTGTATTTCTTTGCACAATACAATAACATCACCAGCAATGAATGACTGAGAACATAAAGCCAGGCCAAATGCACTGACTTACTGAATCCGATTGATTTGAGTACTTTTGAGGCAGTCAATTCAACGTATAAATTTGTTAAGACTATCTTTAAAAGCTCCGGGTGAGCCCATGATGTGTTCAGGCAGTTCCTGGGCCATGAGGGAGCCATAAATACATTATATGGCACCATGAACCTCATTTTCCATATTTTGTGTGTTGCTCCTATGCTCCATGTCCTATTAAGATTGGCTTCGTATTGTGTAGACCTTCTGGTTTCACTTTGAGTCAATTTTTTCCTAA